AGAAGGAGGAGGCTGCAGCAGGAGATTTAAACCCTGAGTTACTGATTAAAGACACTGATCTGGACAGAGATGAAGGTTTGGAGCCACTTTAAGAGGAGAAAACAGAGATTTACTGAATATGGGGGAATATTTAGAGAAACGTTGTTACGGGAATAAAAAATCTCATCTTAAATTGAATTATTTTGAGGTTGAATTTAAGAAGAAAAACAGTAATAATGAGACGAGAACAAACATTTTATAGATTTAAAAGTCGAAATTTAATGAAGAAAAACATCAGAGTTGAGATTAAAGTTTCATCGTCTGAATATTTCAGGAGAAATTTGTACATTTACGAGTTTAAAGTTGTGATTTTGGGAGAAAAATGACGTTTTGAGAACAATTATGTGAAGTTATTTACTGCAATAAACAAAAAGACAACAACAACTTTTTATTTACTGACTTTAATCTCATAAAATTGCAACTTTTTTGGACTTGATCAAACAATTCAGACTTTCTTTTTTATATAAATTAATTCAAACCTGTTCAAACATTAATCATTATAATTAATTCCTTCGTTTTTTTTGAATTAATTCTCAAAATATTGAGTTTTTGTTGTTTTACTCTCATTACAATAAAATCGCAGCTTAATTACAGAATTTCTTTCTTAAATTTCAGCTTAATTTTCAAAATATTTCAGCAGTTTTTTTTTGTTTTTTTTCAAGTGACTTTTTCTCTAAATTCAGACTTAAATCAATCAGATGCAGCTTCATTCTCGTAACAAGACTTTTCTCTTTATTATGACATAATTGCGACTTTTTCCAACATTTTTTCCAAAATTTATGAACTTTTTTTCTTAAATTCTGACTTTATTGTGAAATTCTGAGCCTTTAACAACAAACTTAGGACTTAATTCTCAAAATATTTCCTTTTTTCTCACTAATTTTGACGTTTTTCTCCAAATAATTCACATTTTGTTCCTGAAAACCTTCAAATTTCAACTTAATTTTCACAATATCCCCTTTTTTCCCTTAAAAATCTTTGGAATTGACCATTTTATTTTGTTAAAATATCATAATTCCTTCTTCCTCGTGGCTCTGAAACCTTCTCCTCCGTCCAAACCAGCAGGATGTGGGTTTGTGTCGTCGTCGTCGCGTTTCAGAGAAAAGCGACGACGAGACGATGAAATGCTGAACAATCAGTTGCTGTCTGTTGAACCGTGTACAAGCTTCTATTTAATGTTAGTTTATGACGAGCGAAGGACGGAGACGAGATAATCACGAGGTTTTCTTTCACCAAGCTCAAAAAAAAAAAACGTTTGTTTTCGGTTTCTTTCGGCGTTTTTCTGACGTCTGTTGCCGGAGAAGCTTCGGTGATGAAATAAACTGATTTTCTGACATCTTTAGATTCCGACGGACGTTGTGTAGATACTCGGATGTGTGTGTGTGAGTGTGTGTGTGTGTGTGCGAGCGTGAGTGTGTGTGTGTGTGTGTGTGTGTCGTTGTGTAAACTTTCTAAGTGTTAATTTAAACCCGACTTCGCTCCCGTTCAAAGTCAATGTCTCTCTCCCGGTTTGGTTTAGTGCCTTTTTCTCTCAGACACTCTGAAATAAAACAGTGATACCTCTGGAACGCCGCCGCTGTCCGTCTGTTTGCCCGCACAGCTCGACAGCCGAGGAGCAGGTGAGACGCACAACAACGCACACAACCAGCCGCACAAACTACACAAAGACTCTCCGGTGTGTCGTCCTACAAACGCTTTGGTTTCCTCCTGGACCAGAAACAAACAAAAACGTTCTCTGGTTTTACTTCCTCAGTTTGTCCTCGTGTCCCTTTTGTTGTAATCTCGTCTTTTCATTCACATTTCAGTCATTTTCTCTTAACTCGCCTCCTTTCAGTCTCCGTTTGATTCGTCTTTTTAGGTGAAGTTTGTGTTTTCCAACCAGCGCTTCGGTCCAGGAGCTCATTGCCTGCAAACGTCCAGTAGTTTTCTAAACATCTGGAGCCAGTTCAGCAGCTGCTCGGCTCAAACTTTGACTAATTTTATCTTAATTTCAGATTTATATGATTAAATTAAAATGGATTCTGCCGTACAGACAAATATTTTCACTATAATCTGCCGTATAAACAGCCAAAGTTTCATTAGCTAGCGTGCTACCACTGTTAGCATCCCTCAGACGGACGTTACATTTCCACAAACACATGACGATAAAGATTCAAGAGGTTTATTGTCGTTTGCACAGAAGACCAGACAGTCACACAGACGTTCTCACAGGCCTCATGCGACCTCACAACACGTTCTTTTTACAGCTTAAATGCAGACGTTGGTGCTACAGGATCCAGTTTTCTGTTTGGTTGAACTTCACTGGTGCGACTCTGTTCAGTAAAGTTTAAAGATCATTCCAGTATTTCAAAGCTGGACTTTCTTTTCTCGTCTTTTTTTTGGGGAGGTTTAAATGATAAATGGGGACGAATGAGTGGAATTAATCCGATGCTGTAGCTGAGAATTAGTTCATGTGATGGTGCTAACAGCTTTAGCTTCACTCTGATCGCTCACATTATTTCAGGAGAAAATGCTTCGAGATCTGAGTTCTTCTCTTTTTTTTTTTTTCTTTGACTGGCAGCCGTCATCTCGAGTCAAAACAATCGCAGCAAATTCGTTGATACACAACTTGACGTGAACAGAAAAGAGTGTTTTCATCCATTTTGCAGCGTGAATCATCACAATTTCACCGTCCTCCACACTAGTCGGGGAAAGATTGGGGTTGCACAGTGCCTCATTTTGTTGCCGACATTTCGGAAAACGCACAAACCATTATGTGACTTTAAAATCTAAAAACAGTCGGCTCTCTGTGCTCCAAACCTTCTGCGACCTTCTGCTACATTCTCCACTTATAACATCCCGAAAACAAGCGCTTTCACTTTAAAAAAAACTCTGATTTCTGTGCAGATTTTGAAGTATTTCATTGACAAAGATGAACAGAAACGGCAAAATTATATTTTTCGCTTGACATAAAAAGCTAGCATCAAATTCACTTTAACGCAAACAGCGATTGTAGCTCTTTTGCCGTTTCAGGTTCAAGCGTTCGCTCAATATTCTGCTCAGTTTTGTCCCTATTAATTAGGTAATTGCAGTTAAAAATGTAACCGATATGGCAGAAGATGATCAGAAAATGTGTCGTGGATCAGCTGTAGTACCTGGTTGTTCCACCAGGTGGCGCTTCGTACTGTTTAATACTGTAGCTACCAGTAGAGGCGTCACTCAGGCTGCAGGAAGTTCATGTTGGTGAGCAGAGAGCATTGTGGGGGTTTAGCTAACAAAGGGGCACCACAACAAAGACTTCTGATATAAAAGTATGCTCAGCGGCAAACGTTAATGCTGCTGTTAGCTACTTCCGAAGTACTTCAGTATCCATATATTAATTGAGTATTGATTGATAAGACTGCTGATTATCAACTGCAAAAAAAAAAGTTGCATCTTTTGCAGGCTTTTCAGCAACAGTTGGTTTATTAAATACTTTCGGCAGCGACTGCATGAAACTCTGCGGGAAGTTTCCAGTTAGCATGTGTTTGTTTCTACGAGACAGTCTGTCACGATCGCGGCCAATCACACGGCCAGAGAGTCTTTCCGTGCGTCGGTACGAGCAGCCGGCCTCCGATTCGTCGTCGATTTCGCGCCGCTCGTCGTCCGCCGCCGGTCTACCGAGGCCAGACGCCCCACGCCAGGCCGGGCAGGATGAGCGCCACCAGGACGGAGGAGAACAGGTTGACGGCGTTGTTGTCCAGGATGGGCTTCCCGCAGATCCGCCGGGTGGTGGCCGACTCGTAGCTCACCACCTTCCCGATGCTGGAGTCGAAGCCTGGAGGTGGAGTCACAGGAGAAGCAGGTACGGCTGCATTAGGCCCAGTTCAAAGGATACCTGCTGTATCTTTAATTAAAGTTTCTGTTGTGTCTCCGTGGGTCAGTTAATTTATTATTTGTAGGCTAAAATGTTAAAAACATCTCTTATTTAAGCTTCTTAAATGTAAATTTTTGCAGCTGTTTTATGACGAGCTGATTAAAGAGGATCTTCGATGGAGGTTTTTTGTTATTTTTGAAGCTAAATAACGATTAAAAACAACATCCATGTAAATATTGACAAATAAAAGCAGCTGTGACTGAAACTAAACCTTAACATTGACCCTCTGAGAAGCTGAAATTAAAGAATTTGCCTTTTTTTTGCTAATAAATTACATTTATTGAATAAATTGTTTAGTCGAGCTTCAGTTAGTTGATCAGATTTAATGGTTTAGTTCCTTAATCACTGATATTTGCTGCTGTTTTGACAAAAAAGGAAACAGTTGTGGAGATTTTTTTGTTATTTTCAGACCAAATAATGATAAAAACAATCTGTGCATTAAAAATCAGAAATCAGACAGAAATCACTATTTTACTATTTTAGAAGCTGAAACTGGAGAAACTGCCTTTTTTTTGTTAATAAATTACATTAATCGCATAAACTCTTTATCTGAGCTGCAGAAAATCAATCAGCATTTTCTTGTTTTTTTTGAAAATTGAGTTTTAATTCGAGTTATTTGTCAGCAAAAATGCAAAAAAAGTTCTCGTTTCACCTCCTGAAATGTGAACGTCCTGCTGTTTGATGAAGTTTTGGGGTTTTGTGTTGCAGGTTTTTCAGTATTTTTAGACCAAATCATGATCAACAACATCCGCGTTAATATTGACAAATAAAAATACTCGTGACTGAATCCTACCTGGAACTAAACTCTAACGGTTACACTTTGAGAAGCCAAAATTAAAGAAGTTTTTATTTATTAACCAAAAAAAGCCATTTAGTGCATAAATTGTTTAGCTGAGTTAAAGATAATTATTATTATTTGTTGTTACTATTTTTATTTTCTTTGAAATTCTGTTTCATTTCTAGTTTTTTGAAGGCAAAAGTGTCAAAAATCTCTTTTTTTAAAGCTTCTTAAATGTGGATATTTGCTGCTGTTTTAACAAAACAAGCCAATTAAAGGGAAACTATTTGTGCATTAAAATATTTAAGACCAAAAGCTGAAACCAAAGAATTCGCAGCAGAAAATGAATCAACGTTTTCTTGTTTTTGGAAATTCAGTTTCAATTCAAGTTATTTGTCAGCAGAAATGCACAAAATGTTCTCGTTTTTGGGTTTTGTGTCGTAGTTTTTTCATTCTTTTCATTATTTTTTAAACGTTCTGCACATTCGTCAAGTCAAATGAAGCCCCGTGTACCTGAATACTGCATGTGAGCTCCCAGGAAGGAGTCCAGCATGGAGCCCAGCAGGCCGGCCATGCCGCCGTACACCACGATGGGCCACTGGGGGTCGGCCAGGTGGAGGTCGCCCACCATCAGCAGCTGCGTCACAAAGTAGGCCACGCCCACCGCCGCCCCGCCCAGGAAGCTGGCAACCAATCCGGCGGGAGTAACTCCTCCGTTGGTTCCTGAGGGGCGACACGAGGATCACGCTGTAGGTCGATGCAGCCACGTGTGAGCCTCGTGGAGCAGACCGCCCCCCAATAAATGAATCCACCAATAAAGACGAGCGTGGTGTCAGTCTCCTGTGGGAGTCTGTTCGCCCTCAGGACAGCGACACCAAACTGTTGGACCTCTGCATCAATAATCCTTCTATATGCTCTTTCAAACAGCCTCTGTCAGCAGCTCCGGGTCAACAGTGTATGAAACGCCTGGAAAATGAATTACTGGTTCACATTAACATTCAGAGCAAACGCGTGAAAATGTCACCATAACGAGTTAAGATGCTCCTGCTTTCACTGTGCTCAGATCAGAGTGTTGTCAAATCAAATCTGATAACAGTGGAGTTGATTAATCAACTGTGGCTCCCTGACATCAGCTGATTAATGAGGGAGATTCAGATGAACTTATTAGAAGGAGTTGAACGACCTCTGTTGGTTTTTTTTAGGCCGGAGGACAGCAGATCAAAGAAACGACAAAGCAGATTTGGCCAAAAATGGAAAGTGTCAACACAGTTCATTTGTTCAGAGCTGCACTGTTTCCCTTCAGCAGACAGTTAAATAATGACCTCAGTGCAGTGTGACGTTGGTGAATTTACCCCCATGACACCTCAACAGGAGTTAGAGAAAGAGACTAGAGTTCACCAGAAGACACGTGGAGACTCTGAAGTCATCCAGAAGAAGGTTGTGCTGTTTGATGGACACCAAACACTGGACATCATCACAAACACACCATCCCCGCTGTATCATGATGAAGCACGGTGGTGGCAGCATCATGATGAAGCACGGTGGTGGCAGCATCATGATGTTTGGATCTTCTCAGCAGCAGCCCTGGAAGGCTTGTAAAGCTAGAGGGTGAATGAATGCAGCAAAGTGTGGAGAAATCCTGGAGGACAACCTGATGCAGTCTGCAGGAGAACTGAGACGTGGACTTGGACTTGTTTTCCAGAAAGACGATGAGCAGAAGCAAACAGCCAAAGCTCCACAGAAACGGTTTAAAGACAACAATGTTCTGGAGTCGCTGAGTTCAGACGTCAAGCTGACTGTGAACTTGTAGCTGGAGGTGCAAAGGTCTGTTCATTCATGATTCCTGTGAGGACTGAGGGAGTTTGAGAAGCTTTTCAACGAAAAGTGGCGTAAAATCGCAGATGTTCAGGCTGATTGAGACCAACACAGGCTCGATGTTGTGACTGCAGCCGAAAGTGAATCAACTAAATACTGACTGGACGGGATGAACACTTACGGAGTGACGTATTGAACATTTTAGAGTTTTAAGTCATTGAACTGCGACGGACTTGTTGGCTTCTTACCTGCCGGGACTTCCTCCCAGGTGGTGATGAGCTTCGGCTGTGATTGGCTGACGACGGGCCCCACCTCCGACGCCCAGGTGTCCCCGGTGCTGCAGGCGAGCGCGCCCAGTAGAGACAAACACATCCAGGAGGCCGAGTACTGTTTGCTGAAGTCGATGGGGATCTCACCTGGGCCCACCTGGAACAAAGATGTCATCGGTTTAACCTCAGTTTTCAGTATTTCTGTGTGACTGCAGACGATTTGTTGGTTTCTAACGAAGCCGAACCTCGATCATGTAGAGCAGCGCCAGCTCCGTGGGAACTCCTCCGTTACAGAAGACCTGGATCCAGTTCCTCTGACCTCCTGGAAACACAAAAAAAGACAATATTATCACATTTACTGGTTAAAAAACTAGAGATGAGTATAAATCAGCATGTGTGGACCCCACTTGTGCTATGTAAAGCATCAGAGACGCTAAAAGTACTTTTCTTTGCAGACGACACTGTTATTTATAGCTCTGAGGAGAATCTACAGCAGCTTCTGCAACCAAAATTAAGCTATGATTGTTGGAAACCAAGCACTGTACATCGTCACAAACACACCATCCCCACTAGAAAGTATGGTGGTGGCAGCATCACAAGAAGCACGGTGGTGGCAGCATCATGATGTATAGTACTCCATATTGTTGGTCTGCTAAAATGTTTACATGCTTTAGTGTTTATGAAGTCCACCCCTGCAGCACCTCGTCTTTAATTTTTAGCTCCAATCATTATAATAATGAAACAACTTTATCTTATTATTACTGTTTCTTTTATTGTCTTTCTTTACAAGAAAAACAAAAAAACTGTAAAATTGTAAATCGCACATGTGGAAATCTTTGTATTGTTTTTTTTTTTTTCTCTTGCTTGCTTTTTTGCTTCTTATTTTTATTTCATTTTGAATTTTTTGCATATTGTAATCATTAATTTTGTGTTACTGTGATAAATGTTTCCTCTGTGGATCAATGAAGTTAATCAAAGTTAATGCAGTTCTGCGCTCAGGTGCTGCAGCGTCGTGTTACTGTGACTTTAAACCTTTTTTTTTTCTTGGCTCACCTTCTTTGTACTCGGCGTCTATCTTCCTTTTCTGCGCTCCTCCCCAGCGGGTCAGCCTGGACGAGGTGATGAAGAAGGCGAGCAGCGCCGAGAAGAAGCTGTAGTTGGCCATCGTCAGCACGAATCCGACCAGGAGAGCTGAGAAAACAAGTCGGCAGACGTCAAAACTAGTTGGATTTAATGTTGCCTCACGGCCTGGAAATCTCATGAGCAGGAAAGTAAAGTCCCCGTTACGCATTTACACACATTTAAAACCTCAAAAGTGCTTTCTGAAAGAGAAATTAGATTAACTTCAGACATTTATCGCAGAAATTTAACCCAGCGGCAGGTTTTAAATCTGTAAAATCAAATAGAAAATCTTTTCACAAACGTGGTTCAACAGAGAAACAAATTTATTGAATTTATTTTGTTTAAATTGCAGATAAACTTGCAGCAGGTTTTAAAGTTCTCTGATAAATCTACACCATTAATCAGAGCCACAATCTGTAGAAACAGAATTTTTAAACTTCCAGTTGTCCTTGACGTTCTCATCTGCTGTTCTGTTTGGGAAGATTATCCGAATTTATATCTAATCAAAACCACACGATTTTACACCTTAAAATTCATTATAAATGAACCGTTTGCTCGAAAAAAATTCTGCAAAAATCTAAAAATTCTGCGCCGCTCGTCCCAACAGCGAAGCCACCAGTGACTCAGCCACGACCAAAACTCGTGCTGTAAAAATTCAAAGAATCTCGGCTGAACTGCAAAGAGGAGACGAGTGTGGAAACCAATTAAAAAAGTAAAATAACCAAATATCCGTAGCGTGCAGAGACGTGATTTTCTTTTACAGCGTTGGTAGCATCTGCGGGATGTTTTTTATCGTTTTGCCCCGTTTATATGCAGCAACATTTGTGCAGTCAAAAACCGCCTCGTAAACATTATTTTGTGTACTTTTTAACACAAAGCGTCTTTGGAGACGGATCGATCCGTGTTTTATCATCCGGTGGCTGCAGGACGACGCATGTGGAGGCTGAACAGTGTGTCCAATATGTGTCGTAGTTTTGTGACAGCTGCGCTTAATGGACGACGAACATTTCTATGAACTACAGTTTAACGTCTCAGTCTGATTTTTATGGTGCACGACTGCACAGACCAAGTCCTGTCTAAGTCTATTTGTATTGTTAAGTACGTGTTTTCTGTAGTTTTCAGCTGATGCCATCCATCACAGCAACCCGCAACAGAGGGCCGAGGTGATCCGGACAGTGTGAGAACCACACCGAGATGTGAGCAGTGTTTTCTAGAACGTGTGTCCTGTTAATGAAAGTCAAGTGGAGGCTGCTGTGAAAAAGAATCTCCCCACAGGCGCAATAAATCTAAAACCTTCCCTATAAATCCTTCGGCTTTTCATCCAGGACGTTCTGGGAAGCCCCGGGACTTTCTTCATGTGATGAAGAAAATGGAGCCGATTTACGTCTGAAATGTTACCGGTCACGCATCCTAATCGGATTTACTTTGGCTGTTTTGGCCACAAAGACGTTTTCTGTCCGCCGTCGACTTCCCTCACGGAGGAATGGCGTCAAAAGATTCAAACAGCGTCGAGTCAAACGTCTGAAATCGGACAAAGACAAACGGTTCAAAGGGTTTCGTAAGAAAACGTGACAGAAATCTGGCAAATCTCTCACAGACTCGGCTCCAAAGAGACGCTTGTGTTCAACCCGAACAAGTGGAATCTTTGGAGTTTGTTTTGTTTGTTTTGCTGCAAATGTTCCAACAAATTGCAGGTTAACTTGAGAGTCGTCTCATCTGCTTGCGTCATGCAATGAAGTTCTTTTAAAACTCAAATCTACAGCGTTTGTCGGAGCTAGAATCTGTAAAAACTTCTACGAGACCTTGAACTACTCATCAACGCACAAACCTGTCGGATCTTCTCACAAGCTCGGCTCGACAAAGAAGCACTTTTCTGCATGTTCAAGTGAAAACTTTTGGGATTTCACAACAAATCTTGCGCCTAAACTTGCAGCAGCTTTAAAAACTGGTTTATCTTTAAAAACCAAATCAACCAATCAAATTATTTACTGGAGCCAGAATCTGTAAAAACGGTTCGATTTTTAACTTTACGACTTCTTTTTTTTTTTTTAACTGCAGTTTTCCCAAAAATTGCAGATCAGCTCGAGTTCTGCATCGTTTCTTTTCACGGGATAAAACTGACGAGATCATTTCTAACTCTGAGACCTCATCTCGCAGAAATAATCTTTAAATTGAATAAACATCTATGATTCTGATCAAAGCAGAATCTGTCTTCACTTCAGTCCCTCTGTCTTGTAGTTGTACGTTTTATCTCTTTATTATATTTCTGTAAAGATGAAAAGGAAGTCGGCTGACAGACTTCTCACAAAGTCGGCTTCTCTTCTGATAATGCACCTTTTTTGTTTTTTCTTCCTTTAAAGCGTTCCGTCTGTTTCCTCGTTGGACGTTCTGTTTGTCCTTTTGAAGGAACAACGTCGGCATTTATCAAACATGACATGAAAGTTTTGAGAGATTAATCTGCAGAGGAGCTGATTTCATGGGCGGCCCGGCTGACGCGCAGAAACGTGGACTTCTGACGATGGTGATAAACATCGCGTTTCCATTGAAGCTCGTTAAAAGTGGCCCAAACGGGCCCGGAGGCTGCCGTCAGGGCAATTTCTTAAACCTTTAGCCTTTTGAAGTCATAAGGCCGAGACGTACACGAGGCGGTTTGTTTGTTCGGGACAGTGACGTCGATCCAGATCTCCCCTCATCCGACACCTTCTGTGCACATTTTGGAGAGATATGTTTGTTTGTGATTGTTCAGAGGAGATTGTCTGGACTTATCAGAACCACGACGGAGGGAAGCTGTGTGACTTAGAAACTCTAAAAAAACGTCTAAATAAAAAGATTTCAAGTGCTCACATCCGTTCGAGGTAAATATTCATCTCTTAGTTTGTGCAACAAACACTTACGGAGCTCCACGTCTGCTTTTTATTGCGATATAATGTTTGTAACGTTATTTAATGCAGTAACTGCAACATGAACGTATTTACGAAGCGTCCTGAACTGATTCTAACGAGACTGACGGCTGTGGAGGTTATAGAACTTCATTTGAATCTTGTTTTATTTCATCACAGGCGCTTTTGTTGCACAGAAAAACAAAATGTCCTTCACGGGAGGGTCAAGTGATTAAAAAATGTCCAGACCAATTCAAGCGAGAATCCGAGATGTTTGGAGTTTGGACACGAACTGCGTCATTCGGGCTTCTCAAACCATACATAATATGGTTTGAGTCAAACCAGGATGACTCCAGAGGAAACAGAGATCTCTCTTTGCTGTCCGGCAGAGTTCAGGCGATAAATAACGAGGAGTCAGAGGAGATTTATGTGTGAATGACCTGAGACGAGACACCAACATATTTACTGTGGAGTCATGGAGCAGGACACAAAACAGAGGAAACAACAAAGTGCTTTCATTCAGCTTCTGGTTTTAAGGACAGTTTTACTGGAACTCTGCTTTTATTTCCACTC